TAAAGTTCTTTAAAAAATGCATAAGGCTTTCCCACATTAATCTTAAAAGCTCATAAATTAATACGTTGTATTCTTGTTAGGTTAATCCGAACACAAATGGTAATGTGAAAATGACAGTTTGTGGTGTTAGAGGGAGCTACATGCTTTAGGCTAACCATTTTTTTGACCAAGCTAATACCGTCTCCGTTAGCGAGCACAGGTTTTTGTTGGGGTGTTCGTATGCATTATGGCATCAAACCTGGCAACCCCACTGTGACACCCAGCAGCAGTAAGACCCCACATTGAATAGATTAACTAATGAGATCATATGTAAGTCACTAAGATTGAGATGTGAATTTTGGAGAGAGCCAAGGTTAGCCATTCTAAGTCTCTGCATTATGTTCTCTTAGGGCTTCTGTTGAACTGTGTAGACATTACGCTTCTTCAGTAAAATGTTATTATACAATGTGTTTCATATACAGCGAGTCACAATACATGGTTGGATGCCCTCAAATCTGGGATTTCACTTTATTTAAGCCCACTGATATATTTCAGTTCCAAAATTTCCCTCCAGACAATGTCACATGTTTTTCAGGGGACATTTTCCAAGCATAAATACAGGCGTTAGGCTGCTATTATAATTTCCATAACATAATCCATCTGACACATTTTCAGATCAACTCTGTTTTTTTAATCAAAGTAAAATACCCTGAGGCAAAAGTTGATTCAAAAAGATGGCGACAAGAAGCAGAGCCAAGTCCGCCCAGACGGGGACTCGTATAACTTTTTATGAAAAGGCTTCCCTCTAGTGAAAAGGAGAATGAAATCTGCCGTGCGCAATCCTCAGCAGAATGATTTGAAAAGTGCTATGGTTGCAGAGCTGACATCTCTCCTCGAGTAACAGAGGAAACATGCTGGATTTTGATTTTTCTATCTATCTGTGCTTGTTGTTTCTGCTGATAACCATCACAGTAATGGATTTATGGGCCCTTGTAGCCGTGTCATGCTTGTGAAAGCCCATAATCTAGCTCTATTACAACAATATGAAAGGCTGTAAAAAAAGACTTGCTGTTGATTGATTGCTCTTCATTATAAATTGGGGCTGTTATCAGTTATCAGATGTACTGAGCAGATCATAAAGGCTTTCACTAAACCATAAAGTGCCAGATTTTTTTTTCTAAAGGTAGATGCTACAAAGCCACTGGAGTATAAGTCAATCATATCATATTGCTTATTTTCCAATGTCATACGCAGGCTATGTCAGAGCTGCCAAATAGAAATAGCGTGCCTGTGTAGTTCTCACCCCACATACGTTTGGCAGCTTGAACTTGCTGTGAACCGTACTGCACCAGGAAAGGGGAAACGTCTCTTCCCTTATGCCTCTGTTTCAAAAGACTCAGCTTCGAAAACAGACGTTTTAGTTCCCTTGACGGTCTGCAAACTTATCACCCTGTCATTTTTATTTATTTTTTTATTTTTTGTCAAAGCAGTGAGGCCCTGTGATGTCTTTGGGACCTAATTGTAATGGAAGTCATCTGATGAAAGTGGGAGGCTTTGAACAGAGGGTGAGAGGGGAGTAAAGGTGTGCCCCTCCTGGACTCATCGTCCTCTCCATTTGTCAAACTGTCTGCCCTCATCCACCCCTGGGTTTTCCCATGTGGCCCAACAACAAGACGGATGGATATAATGGACGGATGGACAGAAATGGACGCCCTTCCCTCTGCTGTGAACTCAGACTCACACGAGCCAGAGATGATTAATTTGTGACTTTTAGTCTTGTGATATTTCTCTGGGGGGAATATGATATTATCAAGTGGCTGTGATTGCTGCTAAGCTTGAAAAGTTAGGTTTGTTTACTGCAGTAAATGTATAAGCTGCCAAATTCCCAATTTCCCGTCTCTGTCTGGCACCCAGCCCATTATTTGTGTACACATTTATCAGCTTGTCTGTCTGCTCACCAGTCTAACATTTGACCCAGTGTCTCTCGACCCACCTTGCTCTGTCTGTCACTGGTTCTCAATCTGACTGTACTTCAGTGCGTCTGCTCATTTCAGGAAGTTTCACCACACTCCGGCTGTATCGAATGACTTCGTGTCAAAGAGCTGCTAATCAGGAAGCTCAAGCTGCACTTCCTTAATTGGCTCACTTTCTCCCTTGTTCTGTTTTCACTCCTCAAATCTGAAGATAAAAATAATTCCCCCCCCCCACCCCTTTATTTTTATAATAAGTGCTTGAAGTGTTTCATCTTAGCGGGATAAGCTGGATGTGAAAACTTGTTAATTTCACAATTTCAGCTTAGCCTTCAAAAGATAGGAATTATGGGAATCTGCAACACCAGTCACAAAGCTGCTACATTCAGTGACCCCGTAACGTTTTTACAAATGGACACTGTTTGTATGACAGACAATACATTCAACCCATTGACACACATGTAGTTAACAGTATGTAGGTCAAATCTACATAAAGATAACACAGATGGGAAGGATCTACTGATGAGTGGTGTTTCCACATGGGGACAAGGATCTTTCTTTCTTTCTCTCTATCTCAATCTTTCTTTCCTTCTGAGCCACGAGCTTAAGCAGTCAAGTGAGTGGATTTATAGACCTGAGGCTTATGGCTTAGTCATGATTGCTTGACTTGGCTCTGTCTCTATTAAAATAAATGGTTTTTACTCCTAATGAGAGAGTGCAACACGGGGGAAGATTGAGATTTTTTTTTTTTAGGAGAAAAATCAAGAGCAAGCGGCAAAAAGAGACATGAAAGTGACAAGAAAGGGCTGAAGGAAGCCTTGAATCATGTGTATGAGTGGCCTTTAAAACATGTTTTGTGTTTCAACAGCCAAAAAAAGTCAAAGTTCAAATTATCGCTGTTGTTAAATTGGTATTACACCTCCTCTAAATTTAAAAGGTAACATATCTTCAAAAAAGGATATGTTAAAAGGATCTGTTCTTTTTTTTAAGAAAAGTTCTTGCACTTGTGTAGTCTCTCTCTCTCTCTCTCTCTCTCTCTCTCTCTTTTTTTTCTTTTTTTTTTTACTGTGTTCAGCTGTAAAACACATGAGGAAACTTTATGCTTCCCCATTCAACTCTGAGTGTAACTGGAGGTTCTCCGCTGACTATAAAAAAGAGAGGGAAAGGAAAAATGGTTGAGGGCAGGATGAGGTCCTCGTCTCTGTGTCTTCATACTGCGGGCTATGGGCCAGGCACACTCTCATGCAAAACCTCATCCCTGCAACTCTTTTCTTTCTCCCCCTTTTTTTTCTTCTTCTTCTGTCTTTCTGGCAGAACAGTGAAGATCCATAAAAATGAATTATGCATCTGAAAGATATGAAATGTGTAGATTTACACAGTGTACACTGAGGGAGATCGCATCTGCTACTTTCTACAAAGAAACTATTTGGTGTAGTTGTGCACTGACATTGATAGATCATCTGTTATGGATAGAAGTGGGAAAAATATTATTTCAAGCATTTGAATTTCTTGATTAGTTCTTTAGTCATATTTCTAAAAGTGAACAGAATCGTTTGCTATGTTAGGAAACACTCATATTTGCTTTCTTGTTGAGAATTTGATGTGAAGATTGATACCACTCTCATGTGTGTGTATGAATAGGAAGCTGGAGCCAGCAGCCAGCTAGCTTAGCTTAGCACAAACACTGGAAACAGGGGGAAAAACCTAGCATGTCTTTGTCCAAAGGTAAAGCTTAATAATTTCATTTAACTCTCAGCAAGAAAGTGAATAATACTATTTCCAAAAATGTTTAACTATTTTTTACCCATCAGGCCACATATGTCATGAAAAAAATTATACTTGTACTTGAAAATATCAAATGTATTTAAATGCGAAATGTCTGTGTTTTTATTCAGCTACTTTTTCCATACAAAACAACCACAGGCAGATCTCACACACACACACACACACACACACACACACACACACACACACACACACACAAACATCTAACAAATGAGAGCATTGACTTGCCATCAGTGTGGTCTCGGAGGCCTTCACTTTCTCTTTGAAGCTGGAAAAACTCCCACTTGAAGTCAGTTGTAAGGTGAACAAAGATACCAAACACATTTAAATGAAGGCTGTAGAAGACAACAACACACAAGGGGATGGAGACCTACATGAAGGTTTACGGCTCCCTGACCCCTCCCAGACAAACAAGAATGACCTGACCTGTTTGTAGTAGGGATGATATAGCCTAACACAACTTTTGGAGATCCACTGTGGCTGGGGGAGAAACTGAGGCGGACGCAAACAGAAAGGCTAATAAATCTTATGACACTTTTCCAAGTCCAATCATTTGAAATAATAACCTCCCTTGTACTTTGACTGAGGTTTGGACTGTGAGGAGGGTGGTCATGGGACTCCCCAATGTGATGGCAATGCACTAATCTGCCCTGTATGGCCTATTCACATGTGGACACACCATTGTTTCCACATTCTAAATAGGAACTGCAACGTTACCCGGGGGAATTGTAAATTTGGTCTGCAGGAACCCTCCATTAATTTCTCTTTTAATTTAAAGTCTGTGTGTCCTTGCAGTCTCATCACATCTCATGCTTGTTACCTATATACTATTGGGAAGTAGTCTGAAATAATGATATTTTGGCTGTTATTACATGCATCTGTAAATGCTAAATACTACAGAGACGCCATGCGGAGACAGGACGCATACTATTAAATATATGTGAGCCTGGGAAAACCAAGGGTTTCCTCACCACTAGCGTTTTTCCCCCGAACCTATCTGTGCTGTAATTTATTACCCGGTAAACACGTGGGAATAGTATTTCAGCGCCACATGATAAACAACCACTCCACTTCACGCATATCTCGCGATAGGGGACGCTCCCTCTGTGCTCGCCTATTGTGAGAGTTTTCCAACCCTCGCGTGATCTTCGAAGTTTCCCACGCCTGTTGTTGTGGCGTCTGCCCTTTTCGCTCACTCTCTCTCTCTCTGTTGCTGCTACCCGCCGCCTCCCCTTTTTCTCTGTCTTCCTCACCCACCCCCTTTCTCTCCGTCTCCCTCGTCCCTACACCTCCAGTCTGCTTCTGTTGTCTCGGCGGATTGTTGGGCTGTGGGAGAGAAAGGATATCGCGAGTATTGGAGTTTTGGTGAGAGTTTGTGGAAGATGGCGCCTGTTGTGACAGGGTGAGTCTGAGATTCGGGGTTGGCAGTGGGGAGCGGAGTTGAAGAGAATACAAGTTATTGCCATGAAATAGCTTAATTTTAGTCCGTGTGCTTTAGCCTGGGCACACTGCAGTGTTTTTGCCACTGGTCTAGTCGCTAGAAGTGATTTCTTTGTCTCAATGTGTTTGCGTGCGAGTGTTTTTTTCTTTGCCCAGTTAACGTTACTTGCCCGAGCTGACTGTTGCTGCAGTGTTTTGTGAGCTAGCCCCAGCTAAGCGATACTTCACCCTCGGTGGTCTTTTTTCCCAGACAACGGCGAGCTGTTAGCTAGCAGGCTAGCCAGCGAGCTAAACACAACCACCGAGGCATGTTTTTGAAAACAATTTAATGTTGATATGCCGTCTCTTTCGCTCCGACTGGCTTGCGCTGAATTCACTCGTATGATTCCTGGTCCTGCGTTTGTTGTCGAAACGTGCTCACCAGTTAGCCGGGCAGCACGTTTACGAATTTGATTCATGACTTAACACAGCTAGCTGTCCGATAATGGACGTCAGCTAGCGATATCTGACTGAAACACGTTGCGGCTTTGTGAGCAAGGCATCCTCTCTGCCAGTGTTTTTATTATAATCTTGGCTGCATTTGCTGACGCCGTGAGACAGTTTTCGCTTTGCACGGTGTGCTTGCTGTAAATACTACCACACACAGTGAATAGCGTATACTAAAATAACTGCAGCTCCTTAAGTAACGCTAGACGACTGCGTTGGAAATAGTATTTACTACATAAACAGCGATCTGCCTCTGACCTCTGTAAACAGATGGCTATTAAAAATACCATCCTAACACTGGCTATCCATAGATGTGGAGTGCATCTAAGGACAAAATTCACGATAAACACCCACAGCCATGTGTGCTTAACCCTATCATCACTAAAAGATGATTAAGATCTTTCAGTTTGCCCGAGCCATTGATTTAGTTTCTCATTATCAGTCTCAACGCAATGACCATGACTTTTGCTCCTGTAAAGAACTTGACATTATCTTCCCCGATGGTCTCTAAATATCAGCTGTTTAAATACCAAGACTTGAAAAGCACTTTTTTGTCTTTGTCACATTTAAAGTTTTATCTCTGGGATTCTTGCATTTTCTCAGTTTTAAAGACATCATTATGGTTAGTGCACCTCCAGTGATAGCCCCTAGATAATACATGCGTAATAAGAGGCAGTCAAAGCTTTTAATGGGAAACTACTCAATGTTAACATTTTCAAATTGTGCATTGAATTGATTGGTAGACAATGTCAAGGATATATTGCTTAATAAAGTAGAGCAGTGTTGTTTTTTCTTTTTGTTAGTCGTGCCGTCAGTAATGTGACCATATTATACAGCATAAACAGGCTATACCCTGGACCAAGTGTTGTGTTCAAAAATCCATTTGTATTTTTCTGCTTTGGTCAATCTGTGGAGTAAACCTTGATTAAAATTATTTGCCTACAGATGAGCTAGACACAAACCTATTTTTTGCACTGTTCAGGCAATAATCCCCACAGACAGCTCAGTGGGTGACAGACATTTGCTGGGCTTGTTGGAGGTGTGTGTGGTGGTAGGAGAAGGGGAGGTGGATTTGGGGGTGGGGGGGTGGGGGTGGTTTACTGTGCATGTTCATTTGGGGCTTTCCAACAGACCTGAACTGATTTCAGTTGGGAGGGGGGAGGTATAGGGGGAGGAGGCAGAGGGAGGGAGGCAGGGAGGGAGCAAGTAAGAGGGCAGGCGGGTCAGGTCTGGGTGGCTGGCCACCTGTCCAGATGATATCTCCAGATTCATGTGTGTTTGGCTGTGTGTGTTTTTCGCAAGTGGGGAACAGGGAGTGGGGGTCAGTGTGTGAGAGGAAGATGGGGTGGGTGTGTGCTTGGGCGAGAGAGGTTTAACAGAAAATTAAAGTGCCATACGGGGTCTTTTCTCGCTTATAGCAGGCCATGTACACAATAACGGTTGAGGCCATCAGAGAGGCTGACCACAGCCCTGTGCCCCCATGTACTGTTTGAATGATTCTCACTTTACACAGGGTGGGGCTCCTCAACCACAGGCTTGTTAATGGTATTATGACTCTCTTCTAACAGTATAACAGAGAAGCTGTAGTTGTATGTCTTGCTATTGAATTGTTGATTGTAGCATATACTGACTTCACTGTCTCAGTCGCTAATGTTGTAGGCTTCAGAATTTTTAGGGTTTTGTCATAGGCTGTATTTTTGATCTGTGTTGTTGTATTGTCTTTCTGCATAAGTTGAATTGCTGCTTGAAAGCTATCTATCAACAAACAGTACAAGATCGTCAGGTGAACATTATCCTAAATGTCTGATTGATACAGGAAGTGTAGCATTGCAGGTTGTAGTTACTAATTAATCCGAACATTTACAGTGAACTTTTGTTTTTACGAAGTACTGCACTTCAAAGCATAGATCCTTTCATTCAGTGTGCAACTCTTGTAATTGCCAAAGAGCTGGTGCTTCTCAGCTTGGACTGCAAAACACATGACACACAATCCAAAATCTATATTTTAAGTATCAAACGCTCACTCCCTGCAGGTTTGAAAGATGGTTTGTGTGAAGACTTGTAGTTTGCTCCTTCATGAAGAAGAGCGGCTGTGGTCAACTTGAGTTTGTGTTTACAGTGGATTTCATGGCCATTAATAAAGTGGTCTTTGTTAAGGTTTTCTTGCAACATCTCAAGTACATCTGGTCGCATGGGAGAATCTTCGTTTAAGCTAAACATACATTACAGTATTACAAAAACTTTGAGTAGTGAGAAGAACACAGAGATATAGAACTAGGACTGAAACTGCTATTTTTACTTATTGGTGAATTTCTCCATTAATTGCTTAGTTTGTCACATTCAGGCTGCTTGTTTTATCCATCTCCAGAGATCAGCATATGTTCCAGCATTTAGTTTGAAAAATGTCGATGTATGATTAATCAATTATTAAAATAGCTGCTGATTAATTTTCCCTCAGTCGTCTAATCATCTCGGCTCTAGACACAATTTAGTTGCTGTACACCTGTTCATTTTTGGATGCAGTCTCAACACGTGCAAGGGAAACCCCCTATTGCTTACCACAGTACACAAATCTCTCTCTATTGCCATAGCATCCTCAGAACATTGTAGGTTGCCACAATAACACAAATTGGCAAAAACATCACCGTCACTGTCCTTCATGTAAATGAGAGACAAAAAAAGACAGTGTAGCCTTCATAATTTTCTCTCCTTGCCAGTGAGGAAAATGATTGTGATAGCTCAAAGAACAGCACTGTTCACCTGAGATGATAAAAGCATGAATCACTTATTTCAACACTACCCTGCCTTTGCTGTGCCCCTGAGGGACAGGATTCCATTTAGCTCAACCCCCTCCATCCCTCTGCCAAACAAATATATATATATATATATATATGAAAAAGAGGAACGATGGAGTCTTTCAGGCCAAAAGCCAAGTGTCTCTGTGCTGGTGTAATGATACTACTGAGCCTTTGTTTGAGACACAGACCTTGTGTTCTTGTATTCGTTAGTATGAGTGTATGGTTTGAGCTCTGCGTCTGTGTTGTTGCTGGTCAAGTGAGTGTGTGTGTGTGTGTGTGGAGGAGAGTGAGTGTACCTAGACATAAAAGTTGATCTGTGTGTTTATGTGTGTGTGTGTGCGTGTGTGTGCGTGTGTGTACGTGCGTGTGCGTGCATCCACTCCCCAGGGTCCTCTCCTCTTCCCTGCTTCCCTTTATGAAAGGAGAGGTTCAGAGAGAGCAGCAGATGTCGAAGCCCTGACCTTTATGGTGGCAAAAGCTTAGGCTAGAGTTAAAAGACATGCCGAGTTGCCCCACCCCCCGACCCTCAAAGCAGCCGCCCCATGTCCACACACACACACACACACACACACTTATACACACAATCTGCTACCTTAGCTGCAGCACTGATGGATAGGTTAACGATGGAGATGATACAAGCTACCTGATCTGTGTGTCACCTCAGGATCCTGCAGCCTCCAAAGCTGCCCTATATCCACCCAGAGCTGTGAAAATCTTCAAAGTGTGTGGCGTGTGGGGGTTACAAGCCAGGGGGGAGCTGTACAGAAGTCACAGGCAAAGCACCAAAGCGAATGTGCCCCCGCCAGACATCTTTAGGGGGATTTATTCTCATTCGTACAGTAGCCTATTGTTTTGGAAGTTCATGCATATCCATTACTTCACATGATTGAAATATCCCCCGAAGCCTATAGTTTCATTCAGGGTTCAGATTCAACTTGTTTGGTTGAGCGATGATGGGCCTCTTAAAGCAACACACGCCCTAGTTGACTCAGTGTCTTCATTCTCTTGTTTCCCTCTTCAGCCTGTTTGTGTCTATCTGTCTCAGGGGAACAACCACAGGAGACACCCAGGGGGATAGAAATGCACATTTTTGCGTAATTTGGCTTGGATTGGCGCCAGTTTGGCACTCCTTATTCTTGGTCGTCAGCCACGTGCTCAAGTGTGCAGATACCAACGTAGTATGTCCCTGTACTTTTACTTTCCTCCTGCTCATTCATAGCAAGCAGCTCTCTTTATTGATAATGCATTTTAGTGACCTTTCTCATGTAGAGGCGGTGTTGGAGGGGGGGGGGGTTGTGTTACCTAATTTCTCCCAGCCTGGGGCCTGATAAGGGGGTGAGATGTCTCATACAACAGCCGCGACAAGGGGCCATTTATTTACTTGTGCAAGGCTTGGAATGCATTAGTCTGAGGTCATACTTTTTTAATCTCTGGCTTTTCAAAAAAAACTAGCTGCTGTTTGCCTCGGAGAGGATGGGACGGAACATTCTGATGTAAATCTAAAGCCAGTGTGGTTTTGAAAACAGCCTTGGCGTCATGTTTGATAGAGGCCCAAGTCCTCTTGGTGTTGTTGTTGGCATCGGCTGCACCGCTTAGCTAAGACAGGCGAGCGGACGGGAGAGACAGAAAGCTAACACGAGACAAACGCGACAGGCGGAGGAAATGCGTACCTCTCCGC